AGGGGACGTAGAGCCTTTCGAGTTGCATTTTCTGTGCAATGAAGTACAGTATTTCAGATGCATCCTGTCACAGCAATTGCTGTTTAATGCAGTGTGTTGAGCTTTGCCTATCTTTGTTACTGGGTGTTAGGAGAGTCTTGGGTCAGGGCTTAGCACATAGCTTGGAAATCAACCGTTATCTTTCCTGCTTTAACGTGGTGTCGTCTGCTTATCTCACCTCCTGTGTCTGCAAGCCTAGTAGACTGGTTTTGTAGTTGTGGGGTGGGGTGTGCTGGGGAAGAACGTGCTGTCCTGGGGCTGCACTTGGCTGGATTTCATTTGCAGCTGTATGAGAATTTCCCTTCTATAACGTGCTTATTTTGAGAACTTGGAAGGTTTGGAGAAACTAGAAATCGGTGGCCTGGTTCTCTCCATTGGGGAAAAGCCCTTGAAAAGACTAATGTGTGCCTTCCCCTGGGGGATTTGAGCCAAAACGTGCTCTTCCTGTGGCAGTTTTTAAGAGCTCATTCCAACTACTGCTTTTGCAGAGACCTGTTGTTGAGCTGCAGTACCTGGGATGCACGCAGTCAGGTGCCCATGCAAGCAGAGCATGTTGGAGAAAAGTTAGGCTTGTTTGTTATTCCTTTCCTTGCTAGCCGTGGCAAATAACCAAGCTGAGCTTCAAAGGCAGTAACTGTTTCCTCATCTGCAGAACCTGAACTTCACTGGCTTCCGCAAGATCTTGAAGAAGCATGACAAGAACCTGGAGACAACACGAGGGGCAGAGTGGCGCGTGGCCGAGGTGGAGGTGGCACCCTTCTACACCTGCAAGAAGATCAACCAGCTCATCTCTGAAACAGAGGTGAAGATGCTGCTCTGTGTGCTGCTCCTATTGCAGCTAGAAAGCAATGGTTTCTTGTTCGCTGCTGATTCCTGTAGCATCTGGATGCACCTTGTGTTCACCACTAGGGCAACTAGTAATTAATGTACCACTGATTTCTTGTGTTGCTTGCACACACGTGTGTAAGTTTGTCTTTAGCTGGCAGCTTTTCACTTTGAGAAACACTGTGTTGTTACCTTACAAGGTAACAGTACCTGGATACATCATAGGAAGCTTTTCCTATCTTTGTTACCATGTATTGGAAGAACACTGTACCAGAAGTCAAATGTAACTTGGAAATCAGCTGTTACTTTTTGTTTTAATGCAGTATCCTGTACTTACTGTTAGAATGAACTTCCTTGATGTGTGTCTTTATCTCCTTAGGAAGTGGTGACCAATGAGTTAGAGGATGGGGACAGACAGAAGGCTATGAAACGTTTGCGTGTTCCACCTTTGGGAGCAGCTCAGGTAAACAATTGATAGAGCTAAGCTTCAGCAACTTGACAAGTTGCCAAATTAGATTCAAAAGTAGTGAAAATACATGGATGTGAGCATTCTCCATAAATCGTGAGGGCAGGGTAGTCACATATTTTGCTTAAGTTCCAAAAGACATGGAAACAGCCTGCAGATTGCAGGCATGATAAACATAGGGATGAGGTGAATAATAAAGAGAAAATTGTGCTAATTATAATGTATGCTTACATCTTAAGAGCTGCTGAGAGGTCCCAGCTCTGCTTCAGTTCAGCATCAAGATAGGTAAAAATGTTATGCAACAATTTCAGTGCTGCACTTCAAGGAGGAAGAATGCAGTCTGAGATGAGGCTGCATCCCTGATTTAAAACATGCTCTGTGAATGGATCTGATTATGCTGATAACCTGTTTAATCCCCCATAATTCCACCATTGCTTTGTTCACAGCCTGTACCAGCCTGGACTACATTCAGGGTTGGATTTTTCTGTGGATTGTTCGTTGCACTGAACGTGACTGTCATACTTTCAGGTGGGTATGTTCAGCAGGACCCAGCTGGCTCCCACACCCTGGTGTGGATGTGTTCTTGTCTCTTAGCAGGGGCTTGCAACAGAGCTGGTCAGCCTTTTGGGTTGGATCAGCCTAGGTCAGGTCATGCAGTTGTGAATTATTGCTGCTCAGTAATAGATCACGTCCTTCTTGTGTTACCTACGTGGATTTGGACTTGAAAGAATGCTGACTTTTCTTCTCCTGGTTTCCTTCTTACTTTTGAAAGGATATTCTGGAAGTGTAACATCCATGTGTAAAGACAAGGTGCTTGTTCTGTGAACACGCATTCCTCTCCTACCTTGAGTGTTTGAGAGTTCTGTTTGCAGAACTTAAATTTTGCATAGCACTGATCCACAACAGAGAATAGAACATACGTGTAGCTATGTGAATACTGTGTCTTTCCTAATTTTCATTGGGAGTGCATGAGAATGGCACAAAGCTGTGCCAGGAGAGGTTCAAACTAGATATCAGGAAGAATTTACTTACCATGACTGTGGCCTTGATTTTATTCTACTATTCCAAGTTTGAGCTCTCACAGGAGTAAAAGGAAGGTTGGTATTCTAGATCCAGATATGGGGCTTCATCACAAGCAGCCTTACTGTGGTGTGTGTGATTTCAGTAATGTAACTTACATAAGCAGTGCAACAGACAATCAACATATGAGCTCTTGCATTTGGGAAAGCCTGTGTCTGTGTTTTGATTTGAGAGAATTTTTAATCAGATGTTTCTGTAATTGGATCTGAACATCTCCTGGGATAAAATTTCTCTGTTTTAGAAGCTGTTTGCTCTTCCTTTTTGTATAGTAGAGTTAGAAAGTTGCCCCGTCTGTATGAAGGCTCCAATGAATGTGTAGGAGCTGTTCTTTATTCATCAGCCTTTTTTCTTGGTGTAACTTTCATGTTTGGTCTGTAAGATGCAAATAGGACTGAAGCCTGTAATGCTCACTTCATCTCAGTATTAAGAACAAAAAAGAGACGTGGTTGTGAGCAGGAATTCATAAAAATGATTACACCTCTAAAGCAGATGTTGCTAAACTAGTATAAATAATTGGTATGTTTGTATCAGCAGACATGATCTGGTATCTCTGAGTTACTTCACATATTGAGCAAAAGCTGCATCCTAGCTGTAAGATATTTATTTTTAATTGGGCATTCCGTTGCTAACCTCTATGCTACTTTTGCCAAATTGTTTTCATGGTATGATTCACTAAGATAGGATTTCAGAGTTGTTTGTGTAGAACCTGTGAAGCAACATTACACCATGGCCACAGTAGTAAATTGTATCAGTGCTGTCTGGGGCTTAGATTGAACATAAGGAAGCATTTCTTCATGGGGAATATGGCCAATCATAGAATGGCTTGGGTTGCAAGGGACCTCAAGGATCATGAAGCTCCAGCCCCACTGCTGCAGGTAGGGCTGCCAACCTCCACATTTAATTCTAGACCAGGCTGCCCAGGGCAGTGAGGGAGTTCCCATCACACGCTGTAAATGTTGAGCTGTGTTCACCACAGGATAAGCCTCATCTGGCTGTTCTATCTCACATAACAAGCGTATCTGTTCTGGTCTGCGTGGTAACTTCTGCATGTCTGATTCAGTATTTTGGGGCTACTCTGGGTTTGGGAGCAGCTGCAGACATTTCAGATAAAAAATTTGAAATGCATGCTTTAGCAATTTCATGCCCAAGACTCCTTTCTTTCAGTTCATCAGTGCACCTCTCATTTCTGTCCAAGCTTGGGCTCTGTTTGCCTGAAACTGATAGTCTGTAGTTCTCTTCTCCCTTTAAAGTGCTTATGGATGAGAAATACTCAGTGGAGCTGGGGATGAGGACAATTGTATGTGCTCTTCTCATCAAACCTCTATCAGGAGCGGAGGTGCAGTGTTCTGCAAGGGGACTCGGCTGGACGGAGCGCTGCTTTATAGGGCTGCTCACTGTTTGAGGCCATTTCCAAAACCCCAAAGACTGAACAAAGCAAGGAACAGACTTTCCCATATTGCTGCCTTGTGTTGGTTATTCTGCTTGGGTGCGGCTGGCAACTGTATTGCTGGTTATGAATATGCATTACGTTATGGCTGTACCTACTTCAGTGATCGGACGCAGTTCAGCGTTGCTGTAAATGCTGTAAATTGTGCTGCCTGGTTTTGTGGGCAGCTGAAATATTTGTATCTCTGTCTGGTGAGATTTCCTCTCCGTTAAAGCAGAATGTGTAAGTGAGTGTAGTGATGATTTATGCTTAGTGCTGTCCCTTGAGCCCGCAGTGTGAGACGGGGGACTTGAGATGCTGCTAATGACCTGACTGCACAAGCTGGAGAGAGAATTTTCCCCAGAATACTCATAAATCCTCGAATAGGTTAGGCAGAAGGTCCTCCAGCTGCTAGAATATGCAGGTGAATGACAAGCAGGCCATGCTTTCCTGGGCCGGGGCTGAGTATCTGAGAGCCAGAGCCAGGAAGCGGAGCGCAGGTTTGATTTGTGGCGTGACTTGTGCTATCATTAAGGCCCTTTCATCTTTTTTCTTTGTCAGGTGTGGCTTTTATAGATGGACCAGATGTGTGGCCACTGGTGAGAATCTATCGAGGTGGCTTTCTCCTGATAGAATTCCTCTTTCTCCTGGGTATCAACACGTACGGCTGGAGACAGGCTGGTGTGAATCATGTCCTCATCTTCGAGCTCAATCCCCGCAGCAACCTGTCCCATCAACATCTCTTTGAGGTAAACAGCACAGACCGTTAGCAGAGGCTGAGCTGTGTGCATCAGGAGGATAAGGCCTGCACCGTTTCCTGGCAAGGAATTCTAACACAATTAGAGGAGGAAGTTGCTGAAGTCTGATTAGATTACAGGGTTGCGCACTGCTCTCCCTTTTCCTATAATGAGAATTCATTGTGGGGTTTGGAATTATTTTTTCACAAGGTATGTCTGTATTTTGTCTGTCTTTCTACAGATTGCTGGATTTCTGGGGGTTTTGTGGTGCCTCAGCCTGCTGGCATGTATATATGGTAAATTCATCTACATCCCTATGCAGGTGAATCCACTCATCTTGTATGGCTGCATGTTGCTTTTTCTCATCAACCCTACCAAAACCTTGTATTACAAGTCCCGTTTTTGGCTGCTCAAACTATTGGTAAGTCTCAAAATATAAAATATAAAATAGATAATTAAAAGATTAAAAAGCTGTGGCTAAGCTGTAGCAGTTGAAATATGTGCAAGCATCAGTAATCTTCAGTACAGAGGGATATTTTACCATTGTACCTATGTATGCACAGAGCAGACCTGATAAATAATTACTGCAACTTATTACTTGCTATTTCTGTTTGCCTCTACTGTTGTTATCTTCATATTGCAGGTAGTTACTAGTTAATCTTCATGTATACAGCTGTATGTAGCATGTCCCTTGATGTAGCTAGTCCTTGACCCAGCTGGGCATTGCTGGGTTTACTGGAGAGGGAATCTTTGCAAAGGTTACTGCTTCCAGGTTACTGTTTCCAGCAAGTCTTTTATGTTCTTAGAAGACCTTATTTTAGACCCAGCTACTGTTTTCTTGGTAAGTTAAGTCTGGTAAATAACCAGTAGTAGATATCCATGCTACTTTGATGTACCAGTTGCAGGTGGTCTGGTAAATAACAAGTAGTAGATATCCATGCTACTTTGATGTACCAGTTGCAGGTGGGAGTCCAATAGAACTCGTTGGATGGCTCATCAGTTTCTTCCAAAATGGCAGTTTCGCATATTTGCCCCCACCCTGCAGGCCCTTTTAAATTAACCTCAGTCACTTTGGTTCCCTTGATATCTTGTTCTTGCTGGAACTACTCTGAGAGGGGAATTGGGCTGGCTGACATTATTCGTACAATCATTTTAGTGCCAATTAAGACAATTAACTTTGTCTGGAGCATGGCAAAGATGAAATGTAGAGTCATGCTTTAAGTGTGTGCGTGCAGGTATACATGCAAGTAGTTAACCTCTTTAGCCCTGTTATTTGATTTGCTAAGTTACAGCTATTTTGGTTTCTCCTCCTGTGCCTTCCAGCATTCAGCCACCTCTCACAAATGTTCCTTTAGTCCCAAGCCTCATTAGTCTTCCTGCTGTCCCTCGGTGCCAGGAAAAGTACAGCCAGTGATCTGACTGTAAGCAATCTCTGTGCTAATTTACCCTAATATCTTCACAGGGTAAGATCCTCAGTCTTCACAGAACTGTTAGTAGCTGTGGTTAGTTCCCAGAGCCTGCTCCATCTCTAGACCTTGCTGCAGCCTGCAACACAGATGTATGTGGAAGCCAATTCATCCCAAGGTCTCCTGGGGAGAAAAGCTTCATCAAAATGCAAGATTGCTGTAATGGTAGAAGATCACGAAATTCTTCTGTGTGTCATGCAGAAGGGGGAAGGGGAGAAAAGAGACCAGACAAAACCACTCAGTGTAGCTGTGAAGCTTCTCTAATTTTTATCTCATGCAGTTTTTATTGCGTATTTTATTTCTTCTCTCACCAGCAGCTATCTGGGTGAAAGGAGGTGTGAATAGTGCAGTTCTTAGAACTCTGCTTTTCACACAAACTCTGACTCAAGGAGCATTTTCTTCTCACACTTGCTATGCTTCATCTCTGGCAGAAATGCAGCCTGGTGTATCGGGTGTAGCTGTGCATTATTGGCACCTCTGATTTTTCTAGAAACAAATCAGGAGGATGTGTCAGTGTTTTACAGCATTTCCTGATGGAGTGAGGAAGCTTTCTGCATCCACCTGTGCTCACTGGCTGCTTGTTGGTGCTCATGAGCAGGATCTGTGTTGATAATCCCTGATGGACTGCAGGTCACTTCTTGATCTTCCTCTGGGTGAAAAAATGATTCAGCCTGTAGGGAGTTTAATCCCTTCTTTCTTGCCTGCGTGGCACCCTGCTGACGTGAACGTTCTTTGCCTCTGCTTCCAGGAGAGGAGCGTGCTGCATGCATTTGTGTAGGCTGAGGGAAGCAGCTCACCAAGAGGAATCAGATCAGAGTGCAGAGCATGGCATAGCATCTCCATACCGGCCTTTCTGCAGGGAGCTGAAATGGGGAAGCAACTGCAGGGAGCAGAGCAGCATGAGGTGAAAATCTAGGGAAGTCTTCAGCTCAAGCATCTGCTGTCTCAGCACTGGCTTGAAACTGCAGTGATCAGCACCAGAAAGTTTGCGCTTGGATTGTGGAACTGCTGAAATATAATTGCAACCAATGGCTTGAAACTGAAGTTGGACTCTTGGCTGTTATTGCTTTATTCTTAGGACTCATCTTCAGCTGAGGGTTTTGCAGATTCCCTAGCTGGGAAAGGTGGATCTGCTTGTGGAATGGGGATGTGCCAACACTCTCTGGTCCCTGCTCTACAGCTGTCTTGGGCCTGGGGAGGCGTGCAGCAGCCCTGGTCAGAAATGGGAGCTTTTTGGGGGGGTTAGAGGAGTTCAAACAGCAGCTCCTGTCTGTGGGGATTGTGGATGGCGATAGCAGGGCCTTAGCTGGGCCATCTGCATATCTGCGACTCCTTGTCTGCTCTAACCTTTAGGTGGAAAGCTTCTGCTCTCTTAAAAGTTCTGTGCTGTCATCACCTAGTGTCCAAGTGTCTCTCATTAATCAAAGAATCAGAGAATGGCTCGGGTTGGAGGAGACCTTCAAGATCATCTTTCTTCTGCTATGGGCCCCAGATGTGAACACAGTACTCCAAAAGGGAACGTCATGAGGGCAGTGCAGAGGAGGACAGTCCCCTCCCTGCCCTGTGCCACCCCTCTGCTGATGCAGCCCAGGAGCTGATGGCCTTCCAGGCTGCAAGAGCACACTGCTGCCTCGTGTCCATCTTTCTGTCCACCAGGACCCCCAAGTCCTCCTCAGCAGGGCTCTCAATGAGTTCTTCTCCAAGTCTGTACACGTGTCTGGGATTGCCCTGCCCCAAGTGCAGCACCTTGCTCTTGGCCTTGCTGAGCCTCTTTAGATTCTCACGGACCCACTTTTTTGAGCCTGTCCAGGTCCCTCTGGATGGCTTCCCTTCCTTCTGCTGCTTGAATTGCACTGTGCAGCTTGGTGCAAATTTGCTGAAGGTGCACTCAATTCCTCTGTGAATGCCATTGATAAAGATGCTGAAGAGCTCCAGGTTCCCCTGGAGTCACCAACCTCCACCTGGGCACAGAACCATTGACCACAACCCTCTGGCTGCAACCACCCAACTGATTGTTTATCCACTGGATGGTCCACCATCCAAATCCATAGGACTCCAATTTGGAGATAAGGATGTTGTGTGTGTTAAACTGTTAGGAAAAAATAAAATTCTATGAGTAAAGGTAATCAGATGGCATAAGGGGTTGCTCGTAAAAGGGGGGATGGTCTGTATGAGAAAGAGGGCTGCTGCACCTTCTCTGATCTCTGCAGCAGTGCTTCCACGCCAGGGCTGCTTTGAGAGCAGCCATCCCTCACACTCAAGCCTTTGTAATAAGTGCTGTCCTACCTGAGCATGGGAGCTTTCTGGGTCAAGGTCTCTATCTGCTATTTAATGCCTCAAAGTCTTGATCCCTTCCTTGGCTTCGAAATATAGAACCTTAAATTGGCATTACTAGCCCAGGTGGGGTTGTGTCAGTCCTTTCCTGGGTTTCCATAATGGTGTATCATTTAGGTTAATAAGGAGAGCAGTATAAAAGATCATTGTTAGCCTGTGCTTTCATTAATTTAAAGGTTCATAAATCTCTCAACTACAGGGTGGTGCTGGGGCTGTCTCTTTGAGAAATTGGCCGTTAGTAGCTATAACTAACTGGGTAGAGAGAGTTGTAATCGAAGGTAATGGACCATGAAAGCTGGCTGGTTTGAATGTAGCAAAACTGCTGTTGAGGCTTAGAGGGAAAGTGGACTGGGATGAAGAGGGAGTTTAACTGACACTTAATAGGATCTCCTCTGCTCTCTGTTTAACTCCTTGGTGCTGGAGGGTTTGGGAGATCCAGCTGAATAACGGTACTCACTGGTACAACTGTGAGCGCCAGAGAACAGTTAAGTACACTGAGACATGGTCAGATTAAGGGCCAAGTTATGGGTCTCTTATCTGACTGATATTAAGTGTGAAGGTAAGGTAACGAAGTTAAGGTAACGTGTGGCTGAAAGAAAGTGCCAGAAGTGCCTGGTCAGCATGAGGAGCACTGGGAAGAGCTCTTACACAGAGACTGCGAGCTTGGTTGGGAAAATGAAAACTTGGAGAGGATGAATAGTTAAGCACAGGAGGAGAATTAGATGTCTGGAAGCAGGAATTTTATTTGTACTTGAAATAGGGAGACAATTATCTTTCTTTTTTTCAGCAGGAGCAAAAGATCAGCAACAAATCTGCAAATATTTTTGTTTAATTCCCGTATTTGTTCGACGCTGTGATGTTCTGCTGCTGCAGATGGGTCTTTGCTAATATGTCACACAAATTATTCCTTTTTCTTTCAACAGTTTCGAGTGTTCACCGCTCCCTTCCACAAGGTGGGCTTCGCAGATTTCTGGCTGGCTGATCAGCTCAACAGCCTGGTTGTAATACTCATGGATCTGGAATACATGATTTGCTTCTACAGCTTCGAGGTTCAGTGGACGGACAGTGATGGGCTTCTGGCAAATACAGGTAGAGAAATGCTGACAGCTTTGTGAGTGCTGTCAGAATGACCTGAAAAATACCAAGCAAGGCAGCTTCTTAAGCAGCAGATTTGAAGAGGCCAACCAATGACACGGAACTGAAATAACTGGCCTTTCTTGTAAGCTTGGCATTGGAGAGATTCTCCCGTTTCTTGCTTCCATCCAGAGAAATGGAATTTCACATCAGTGCTCGTTTCCTAACCCAGTCGTTTGGCCTGACTTGCACATTCATCAGAGGATGTTAGAGCACTTATTGATTGGAAAGACAAAACGATTTTCCTGGCGTTGTTTCATTTCAGTGGTTTAACCACGTATTTGCTTTTAGCCTGTTGCTGTTGCTTAGCACGAAAATGAGTTGAGGTCGTTAACCACAGCTTTCAGTGCTGTAGCCTGGTTCTTAAAGACTCCATCAGCATAGCCTGAAGCAAGAGAGGACTGAGAAACTTCCTCAGAAGTCCTTATTTGTCACATTTGATGCTATAAGAGCAGGGCGGTGCGTGCTCTGCCTCTCTCCTTTCTAGCCAGGGAAGTCACAGAGCTGATGTGTGAATTTTGACTTTGGCCTTCCCAGTGGCAAAGCCATACCTGGCTCCTACTGCATTAGGCTGTGTTCTTTCCATTTTAAGCAGTGACTGCTGGCAAATTGTGTTGTCTGATGGTTTTGACACTTGCTAAGAGAGATTGCAGCATGCTTCAATAAGCATCAGCATACACTTTGTTTTTCCAATCTGTCTGATCTTTATCTTCCATTTATGACAGTGTTGGAATTAACTACGTATTTGTCTTATTCAACAAAACCAAAAACCAAAACAAGTTATAAAATAACTGTGTGGATAATGACTAGTCCTCCAAACCCTGGAATAAAGTGCTTCAGAATAACTATCAGCTAATGAAGCTGTCTCCATTAGTTTGAGTAAGAAACAAACATTTATTTTAAATGTGCTGAGCAAGACTGCAGAAAAATATGGTATGCTTGGGAGGTTGTAGTTAGAGCTGGGATTTTCTTGGTTGTTTCCTTAACAAGAGGACTTCAGGCTTCCTGTGTGACATGGTGCTGTGTTTGCATAGTTGCCTCTCACCCTAGTTGTTCGATCTGTGTTCATGCTTTGCTCCACCTTTCAAAGATGGAAATAAATAAATGGTAACGTTTTTTTCACATGCAAGAAAGGTTAAAAGTTACTGACTCTGTATCTCTGACACTTTTTTCTTGCAGATGATCAGATTTGTTACAGCTACTCCTACGGAGTGAGAGCAGTTGTCCAGTGCATCCCTGCTTGGTTGCGATTCATCCAGTGCCTGCGCCGGTACCGCGATAACAAACGGGCCTTTCATCTGGTTAACGCTGGAAAATATTCCACCACCTTCTTTGTGGTGACATTTGCAGCCCTCTACAGCACTCATAAAGGTACTGGTTCTGTTGGAAGGCCATTTGCCCATCAGTGTGCTCATCAGGTCACACTCTAGAAGGGATGCTGAAGACCACCTCAGCCACTTTCTTACCAAGTTCGAGTGATTGCAGTGTGAAAACGCAGTATTGGTTCTTTATGTTTAAGCATTGTGTCGTGGTGCTGAGCTGGTTTTTCGTTGGTGACTCTGCTGTTGAGGAGTGGTCAATATTTACGTGCACAGCTCTGGTGGGCAGATATGTCTCACCAGTTCTTTTTCTGTTGAATGAGAGCATCCTGGGCTAAGTCATGGGGTTTTCCTCTTCCATGGGGAAAAACTTAGGATTGGCTTCCCTTTCAAATGTAGACTTTGGCCTTCCAGCATCTGTGAAACATCTCAGTGGAAAGTCAAAGGGCTGCCTAGCTGGTAAAAAGTAAATACTTCAAAATAATACTTGAAGTATTTTTTGCATACCTGCTCTAAAGGAGGAAACTGGAATACCTGTCAGTTCTTGCTGTGATGGGAGGTTGGGTGGGAGACGTCTAAGGAGAGGGAGAATGTAGGAAATACTTTTGCCTTGGCATTCATGAACAGTTGCAGCTTGTCTGTCATCCCTAAACACAGGGAGATGTGCACAGTGCTGGGAAAACGCCCTCTCTGGATTTTCCTGTGTGTTTTTATCCATGTTTTTTTCTGCAGCTGGCAGGGAGTTGTTTCCAATCCATTTAACTGCAGATTGAGCTCTGATCCCCAAGTTCCCCATCTCCCTGGAAACGACAATTACTTGATTCTGCTTCTTGCTCTGAAGGAAAAAGCTTTTCGTTTCTGCACTTCAGGCAGTCACCCTGCCTCTCATTGTTCTCAAGTCCTCAAAGCTGTATTCTTGTATTTTAAAATATACGCCTCCTTTATCTCCTGGAATTAACAGCTACACATGCTCATGAGCTATTGCTTATCCTGAAATATGATTGTGGCAAGGCAGGGAAAAGGGTTGGATGTATGCTCCTAGTTCCCATGCTGGTTGTGGGTGAGGAAGCAGGGTTATTAGAAACCTTTCTGTGGCCAGTGGTTCTGGAGCCATGCACGTAACATTTGCCAAGCTTTGCATCTTAATGGTACAAACCCAGTGTGGCAGCAGTGGTGATGGATGCTGTCAGAGCTCTTCACCTTGCTCCTCGTGCATCCCCTCCTGCTGCTCCCCCACAGGGCTTGCTCCCAT